ATAGTGGGTGTAATAAATTATAATAATAATAAATTAGAAAATCCAAGATGGCCGCCAACCTAAGAGTGTCCACAAAATTTAAGTGCTTAGAGCGGCTTAAAAATGCGTTTAGTCTTTGAAATTTTTCCTTCTTTTTGCTACCGACGTACTCGAAATCAAATTCTTCAACTTTTATTACATGGGAACTATGTAGTTGCTGTTCTTCCAACTGGGTTTGGTGAATATCGTTCGTTCGTTAAACAAAATTAACAGCCAATTGAGCCAAAATATAGTATTACGACAGATGTTCTCCAGCTGGACAGGCTTACCTAAGAGGACACGGAAAGTGTTTTGAACTGGGGATGTTAAACTTGGTTTTACCCTTCCAAAGACTCTGCTGTGCGACGATTGGAGCGAGTTTATGAAGAATATTTTATACAGTGATTCAAAGAAATATTTTTGCATATACTGTATAATATGTTATTGATCTATTGTTGAATGTCACTTATATTATAAAGTGCCAATGGTTGGAATATTTATTCATTGATATTTTAAACACAGATGAAGTGTTATATGCTCTTTCCTTGTTTACGTTTTCCTTGCAGCCAAATGTTGTTGAAGCTGGCAAGCTGCAAAACTGACATATGAGTGATATGACCCAAATATTGGATATGCATCTCAGTTTGCTTCCAGTAAAATGCAAACAAGACCTTAAGAATTCTATATGAGATAAGAAATATTACGTTTAAAATCATGACTAGCAAATTAGCATGTGCGAATTCATGCTTCCTAATAATAGTATGTACTCCAGTAAAGCTTGCTTGCTTCAATTCTTGCTGTTACCATCTGCACATTATCAGGGTGGAGAGTTGATTTGAATTTTTTGTCCCAGGGGATAAAGGTAGGGAATAGATTTTCCATCACAAAAGGGGCAAGGTGCCCAACCAGTTAGAAGATGGCATGTACTTTAAGTGACCATTCATTATACCCTATGGTGGGGTGGGAGATTCTTATGTCAAAATGTCATGGGACCCCTTTTTAATCTCTTAATTTAACAATGGAGACCCCTCCTAAATATTTAAGACTATATAACATGATGCAATTCTAATCTTCATTCATGTGAATGCCTGACTATGAAGAAAATACATTTTGCAACACAGGGATGGATCCAGCATGATCTGGTGGGGGGGGTGCTCTTCCAGCTCTGGTGCCGAGTTGTGTCGGTCATGTGTGCGCCTGCCCATCAACTTGCTTCACTACTGCAAAGTCTTGCTTTACTACTGTATTTGAATTGTCAGTAATTGTTGTTCACAGCTTGTTTATCATGTTATTACTCAAATTACTGTATCTCATTTTGCCTGTAATAATTTTTTGCTTTATCATGAAAAATAGCACCCCCCCCTGCACCCCTTCTGGCCAGGGCTAGGGGGTGCACCCCCCATTAAATCCATCCCTGTTGCAACATACACTATACTGTAAGAGCTAGAATGATTGGTTCCTTTGGATGATTTGTCTTAGAATTATATTACCTATATTACAACAATTCCTATTCTGAAACCAGTTGCTATTCTGTTTTTTACAACACTCACCCCCCCCCCAAAAAAAAAAGACTCAACAAATCAAGGACCCCCTCCAAGGCAATTTTGCCAGCAAAACAGATTTAATTTGATGGTAACAGTTCTGAGAATATATTACTTAACTCATTGAGTGGCAGCATTCTGCCTAGACTTGCCACAAGTCAACCTCGAACGAAACGCAAGCAGCGAGTGTGAGCCGACGTTTCGTTCGAGGTCGACTTGTGGCAAGTCTACATTCTGCCCTTGAGTAAAATTGTCTGGCACCAGATGGAGTAATATACTAAAGTAGGGCACATTGCCACTATAAAGGGTTAAACAAATTTAAAAAAATTTTGCAATGGTCTATATTCAAAAAGCTCTATTTGTAAATTTTAATTGACTTTCGTATACCTACTTATACTTATAGCTACCTTGCCCCCAGTCACTTCAAGTGAATTCTACAGGAGGAGGGGGACATTGAAAATCCCTGGGTTTACTTGGTAAAAGTAAGAATTAAACCATGTATTACATGTATATGGAGAGCAGTTTTAAATATATTTTATCATGCAAATACCTTGATAATTGTTCTTAAACGTCTTTGGCTTAGAATGGGTACACCCTCCAAAGGTGTTTATTTACAGGGTCCAAAGGTGTAAATATACACTGTCCAAGGTGTTAATATAAACAACAAAAACAATGTATATAATTAAATTTTATTAAATAAAATGTGGAATATTTTACAAATTGCATTACCATCCCAAAGTGTACATAATTTATCAATATAATTAGGACTTAGAAGCTGTTCACATGAGTTTGACTCTGACCCAGCACCCTTGGCTAGCTCCCCTTGCCCGATCACAAGTAGAAAACCTCCAACCCCCTCTGACAAATCAGTCCAGATCTGCCCAAGAGGCAGGATTTTCTGGAATATTATTAGCAGTGAAATTGTTGCATATTTTCAAGCATGCATTGTAACCTGATTTTAAAGCCTGTTTGAACATCAGACATTGTGGCAATGGCAAGATGGTCCAGCCATATGAATACAATCTTAAAATGTCATAAAAACAATGCAATTTAAGGCCAGACAGCCCAACTCCTGCGAACAGCCCTTTATTACACATTCGAAGCATCTCTTGAGGCATCAAAGTACATGCAGGCACATGGAATTACATACGGGTATGTGACATAAGCCCACCATTGCACAACTTTGTCTGCAACGTACAATGCAAATACAATCAAGCTGGAAATGGATTTTATCAGTATTTTGATATATATATACATTATGGTTCATGTCTAAAGACACCTGCACTTTCATATTGAAATTGTTCTAATATCATCCAAACAAAACACATCAGAAAACTGTAACATCAGCCAAATGAGCAAATCACTTTTTTAACACAATTTATGGTAAAATGAAGCAACATGTAATAGTATCTGAAACAAAACCAAATCGCATATTATTCAAAAGTTGTACTTGTAAACACTGTTGCATATATGATATAACAAAATATCGTCGCATTTCTAGTGGTAACTAACTATAAATTAGGCCAATTTAAACTCGACTATGAAGAATATCAAAAACTAAAGGTCATGTTTCAGTTTATAAACCCAGACTTTAGTTTATAAATATAAATATTAACGCTATACGAAGCCAATGAAGGCACATTTTGCCCTAAATTCTCGGTCAGAGCCTGAGAGATGTGTTCTAGTACACAATTAATCTTCTCTCACAGTTTAAAACAAACAATAATACTAACCTTCGACAAATTGTGTATAAATCTTATCGAATTTAACCATTTTGCCACAGATTTTGCCAAAAATATTTCTTAGACGGACAAACTCCTTGCGTGAAAATGTTAATTTATCCCAAAGTTTGAATAAATTAATCCAAGATTGCATTATTTGCATAATAATATACTTGTCATTGACCAATCAGAATACGTAGAAGACCGGCCGGTGCCAGGGCCTTTTCCCGCCTTCCCAATGACAAAAAGGGAAAAGCCCTGGGAACGAGGTTGTGCACTACAATGATTTGTCTCTTTCCAGTTCGCAAAATCCCGAAGTTGTGTAATCATCGACGCGAGTTGTGCAACAGACCCCGATAGCGCTTGAATCGCTTCTCCATTGATCAACTGTCCCTGTTTAAGAGTTTCAATCCCCTCACAAGTACATGATGATTGCACGCTTGATCGCCTCGAGACAGGCGTTTCTGAGCTGTCTTCGTCTTGCCCACATATAATTTTACACAACTTTCCCACGATATCGTTTTCTCTCTTCCCATCGATACTCAGCAAGTTCTTATTCCTTCGCCAAATTATCGTTGCTTCGTCTCCAGTGAATAGCTTTTTATCTCCTCCAGGCTCCGACCAAACGCCTTCCAGCTGCAGATCGTCGGTTACAAAATTCTTCAGTGATTGATAATCACCAGTCCATGCTAAGCTAAGCTTTTCACCAAATAATATCGCCATAACCTTATTCGCGTTCAAAGATTATGCGTTCAAAGACTAACCAAGTAAATTATTGATTCATTTATAGTCTATATACTTTCTTAATGACTAAAGTTGAGGAGCCCAAAAATAGACATCCTCCTCGAGCCAATATGTGTTCAGTATGTTTAATACACCAGCTTCAGATGACACCATTCATTTGTAATGATTAAGATTGTACTCAGTCAGAACTTCAAAACTATATAATAAGAAAGAAATTCTGAGCATTATCGAAAAAATATAGTATGCCCTAAAATGTAGTGACACAGCGAGGGGGATATATGAATGTATTATGTAAGCCGGTAGGATTATTTCATATTAATTCAAATCCACACTGGATTGCATACAACAATCCACACTGGATTGCTGTAGGAATATCTTTATAGTATAGTAAGCCTGATAAGCCGACTTGGAGAATTCAAACTTCGAGTGTTTGTGGCTTTGGCTTCGTCCCGAACGCTTACCCAGACCCTTGTCGGGGATTGCTGTTTGTCTTATCTACAACCCCCCAGATCGTTCAGCTCAAGAGCTTCGTGATCAAGAGCTTCGTAATAAATATCGGATTGTGGAATTGTTATTCTTGGAGATTTAAACAACTTTGATTTACATAATCTAGCATCCAACCATAGCTTAAAGCAAGTTGCCATTTACCTACCAGAGGGTCTGCTATCCTTGACCTTATTGCAACCAATTTGCATAACTTGTACGAGAAGCCGTATATTCTGGCTCCGTTTAGTACTTCGGATCATAACATAGTTCACTGGCTTCCTCTTACTAAGGATGCCATAAATACTCTGACCCCCAAACCTAAGCCCATAAAGCACTTAGTGAGACGTTATCCTCGGTCTGGAATTGAGGTTTTCGGACGTTGGGCTTGCTCAAAAAATTGGTTTGACGAACTCAGCGATAATCCAGGGACGGATGAATTGGTTACCTCCTTTTCATCACAAGTGACCAATGCTCTTAATAACATCTTCCCACTAAAGACAGTGAAATTACATCACATCGACAAACCTTGGATAACCCCTTCAATCAAGCAACTTATTAAGATCGCCAAAAAGCCTTCCATAGAGGTGATAAGCGACAATGGCAACTATTGAAGTGCAAAGTGCAATCAGAAATAAAACAGAGGAAAGGAATGTTTTATAAGGATAAGATTCAGCATCTTCGTAAAGATGATTGTCGAAAGTGGTGGAATGCTGTAAATAAAATGTCCGGAAGATCAAGAAAGAACGCGAGCTTCAGTCTCGAGCGTGACGGGAAAATCTTATCTGATTCCGAATTGGTGAACAGTCTTAACAGTTTCTATACATCTGTTAATGCAGATATCCCTCCACTTGATTGCTCAGTACTGCCGGCATTCCTACCCGCTCCTGACACACCACTTATAATCGAACCTTACCAAGTTTATAAGAAACTTTGTACTCTTCAACCTTTCAAAGCATGTAGCCCTGATAATATTACACCTCGCAAATTAAAGGAATTTGCTCACGAGTTTGCAGAACCCGTTGCAACTATCTTTAACACATCCCTAACCTCTGGAACATTTCCTGCCGGCTGGAAAGAT